ATAAATACGGTTATCCTGTTTTAACGAATTAACGAATCAGTTGAGTAATTGAATCAATGACTCACTCATAAATACGGTTATCCTGTTTTAACGAATGAATGAATCAGTTGAGTAATTAAATCAATGACTCACTCATAAATACGGTTATTAACAAATCGGTTGAGTGATTGATTCATTGACTCACTCATAAATACGGTTATCCTGTTTTACCGAATGAACGAATCGGTTGAGTGATTAAATCAATGACTCACTCATAAATACGGTTATCCTGTTTTACCGAATTAACGAATCAGTTGAGTAATTGAATCAATGACTCACTCATAAATACGGTTATCCTGTTTTAACGAATGAATGAATCAGTTGAGTAATTAAATCAATGACTCACTCATAAATACGGTTATTAACAAATCGGTTGAGTGATTGATTCATTGACTCACTCATAAATACGGTTATCCTGTTTTACCGAATGAACGAATCGGTTGAGTGATTAAATCAATGACTCACTCATAAATACGGTTATCCTGTTTTAACGAATGAACAAATCAGTTGAGTAATTAAATCAATGACTCACTCATAAATACGGTTATTAACAAATCGGTTGAGTGATTGATTCATTGACTCACTCATAAATACGGTTATCCTGTTTTACCGAATGAACGAATCGGTTGAGTGATTAAATCAATGACTCACTCATAAATACGGTTATCCTGTTTTAACGAATTAACGAATCAGTTGAGTAATTGAATCAATGACTCACTCATAAATACGGTTATCCTGTTTTAACGAATGAATGAATCAGTTGAGTAATTAAATCAATGACTCACTCATAAATACGGTTATTAACAAATCGGTTGAGTGATTGATTCATTGACTCACTCATAAATACGGTTATCCTGTTTTACCGAATGAACGAATCGGTTGAGTGATTAAATCAATGACTCACTCATAAATACGGTTATCCTGTTTTAACGAATGAATGAATCAGTTGAGTAATTAAATCAATGACTCACTCATAAATACGGTTATTAACAAATCGGTTGAGTGATTGATTCATTGACTCACTCATAAATACGGTTATCCTGTTTTACCGAATGAACGAATCGGTTGAGTGATTAAATCAATGACTCACTCATAAATACGGTTATCCTGTTTTACCGAATTAACGAATCAGTTGAGTAATTGAATCAATGACTCACTCATAAATACGGTTATCCTGTTTTAACGAATGAATGAATCAGTTGAGTAATTAAATCAATGACTCACTCATAAATACGGTTATTAACAAATCGGTTGAGTGATTGATTCATTGACTCACTCATAAATACGGTTATCCTGTTTTACCGAATGAACGAATCGGTTGAGTGATTAAATCAATGACTCACTCATAAATACGGTTATCCTGTTTTAACGAATGAACGAATCAGTTGAGTAATTAAATCAATGACTCACTCATAAATACGGTTATTAACAAATCGGTTGAGTGATTGATTCATTGACTCACTCATAAATACGGTTATCCTGTTTTACCGAATGAACAAATCAGCTGAGTGATTAAATCAATGACTCACTCATAAATACGGTTATTAACAAATCGGTTGAGTGATTGATTCATTGACTCACTCATAAATACGGTTATCCCGTTTTGTTGAAAGAATGAATCGGTTGAATGAATGATTCAATGACTCACTCATAAATTCATTTGTCACCACCTTCTGGCCTCACAATGTACAGTAACGTGAATATAGAAACACTGCTGTAGGCTATAATATGTTATTGATATCCAGGCTATCATGTCCCTGACAACAGATAGAAAATATGCATCTTCAAAACTTTTTAGATTTTCATACTAGGGACAAATTCATGAACTCTTGGATGTTTCATCAAATATTGTAAAAGTCACACCCTCATGATCTGAAGAGTGTAAGCGGTGATCGGCGGCTCTTGAGTCGTTACCTTCCTGGATCAGTCTCATGAAGAACGCATGTCCAGAGCTGGTGCGACTCCACCCTAATTTAATGATTTCCTGCTGGGTTGCAAACAGCCTCCTGCTGTGTGTGTATGTGTGTGTGTGTTGCACAGCCCGGACGCCAATGACAACACACAGCCAGACAGAACCAACATTGACTTACCCACAGTTCCACGGGGCAGCGGAGCCAGACTGATGGGGAAGGAAGGCAGTGGAATGCATCAGATCAGGCAACGGTGTATCTTTCACACACACACACACACACACACACACACAAAACAATATTCTGAGAACATGCAATTCCACAAATATAAAAATGAATATTCAAATGAAAAAAGATTCATCAACATATGAAATTGAAAATAGAATTATGAAAATAGGTCAATATCAAGATTTTAAACGAATGAATTATCTGTGCATTTCATTTTACATATTCATATACAGTGCAATCTTATTTTAGCACGTCTGAGTTTTTTTAAAATATTTTGAATTAGCTTTAATTTTTATTTTCCATTTTTTAGTTTTAGTCAGTGTTTTGTCATTTTTATTTAATTATTTTCATTTAATTATGTCTACACAGTTTTATTAATTTTGTTTCAGTTACAATTCAAGTACAAATTCTCAATGCTATAAAATAAGACTGCATGGCAACACTATAATAGTTGCACTTGCAGTATATGTAAATGAAGAGTTCAGATGCAAAAGCCTCTAAATGCCATTTGAAATTTTCTTCTTTAATGATGATTTTTGTCAAACTTGTATATTTAAGTTCAGTAATTTCACTTAAATAACAATTAATAGGTAATTATCATTGCCATTTAAGTGAAATCACTGAACTTAAATATACAAGCTTGATAAAAATCATCATTAAAGAAGAAAATTTCAAATGGCATTTAGAGGCTTTTGCATCTGAACTCTTCAAATGCACCTTAAACAAGCTCATTTTTAATGCATGTATAAGTTGGTTAAGTTAGTCCTCAGTTTAGCTAGTTAAGTATTGTCTTTGTTTTTCACTGTGTGACATATGCTTTTATTTATTTAAACTCAACAGGATCGTCTTGGTCCTAAAATATGCAAATGATTTTCAGACATCAAACACTAACTCTTTCAAAAAGCACCATGGTGTTACAATACAGTGATAGAATTAGATGTACTTTCATATTTACTATGGTTTTCCAAGTCTCTTTCTTCAAACAAAACAATTTCAACTCAAATATTTCATGTCCATGTATTTATTCATAAGTAGGCGCATAATGAGCAGGATAATGTACAAATAAAGGTCCTGATCAAACGTTAGTTTTCATTTTTAAATAATGACAGGCCTCAGAACCACCACCCTTTATCTTTTAGTCCAAAAAAAAAAAAAAGCTATGGTAATGCCAAGATATGTTTTCATATTTTTAAACAAATCTGCAGAAAAACACTTGAATAGCATCATAACCTGAACAAGATTAAAGAAGAACTGAGCTCAATAAGGATCAGATTATTGATATCATAACCTGCCATCTAAACATTCATATAAAACCTGTATAATTCTCTTATGCATCCTGATGTAGTCTGCAGGCTCAAATTAAAGATATAAAGTAGTGGTCAACCAGTGTGTGTCTTTTAAATCGCAGATACCAATATTCAAGATTCATAAAGCAGGGCGGCCGATATATATATACAAACATAAAGGCAGCAAATTCAATTTCTTAAATTAAAAATATAATATTTACTCGATAAAATCATATTTTTAAACCTTTTTTACTCACTGACTAAGATAAGGGGAACTACACTGTCATTAAACAGTTTGGGATATGTACGATTTTGAATGTTTTTAAAATAAGTCTTTTCTGCTCACCAAGGCTGCATTTATTTAACAAAAAACACTTAATTCTTGAGCATCAGATCCTCATATTAGAGTGATTTGTGAAGGATCATGTGACTAATGATGCTTTGATCACAGGAATAAATTACACTTTACTGTATATTCACATAGAAAACTGCGATTATAAATTGTAATAATATTTCACAAGTTTGTTTTGTATTTTTAATCAAATAAATGCAGTTTTGACTTCGTTTAAAAACATTTAAAAATGTACTTTTGTGTAGTTGTAGCACTAGTCTTTATCATCCAAGTTAGCTATAGGTTTTTGGCATATAATCTCAATTTGGCCAAATATCGGCCAATAAACCATTAATATCAGCTCTATTCTGCATGATATAACTGATGGGCACATACACACTCAATCTGTGAGATGCTTCCACCTAGTGGAGGAAAATAAATCAAGAACACACTGTCTTCATGATGTATCTCTGACACTAGTCTCAGCCTCAGACGTCACGCCCACGGAACGTTGGCTAAACGTCTGATGCATATGGTACACTTAACTGGAAACACTTCAGGAATGTCGAAGTCGTCATCTGATTGGTTGAATTTTATCGGATTTCCGGGGGGCGTCAGTGTCGCGTTTATTTTCGGTCCGCCGGGAAAAAAGCGCAGATTTGTGATTGTGGAAAAAAAACTGTTGTGTTTATATGAGTGACCTATGTGAGTTACAATGAGCATTAATCAAGATCAGCTAAACGTAGTTGTGTATGTCCCCTCCTATCTATTATTAAAGATCAACGCGGAGCGTTGTTAACGAGCGCCTCCGGTAACTGCTGCTGACTGCTGACTGACTTGTTGCACGCCGGTCTGTTGTTGTGGGGACATTTACACGCCCCGAAACGTGACGCTGAATGAAACGAACTCTAATTGGTTGTTTGACATGTCGGTCAAACGGCCTTATGGGCGGGCCTTGGCCAAAGATAGCTGCTATGAATTCCAGACCTTCAGCCGTCAGTCTGAAGGTCTGGCTACGCGAGACTACTCTGACACATGCGCCCTGCAAAGACAACATGTAGTATGAAACGAACTGCTTATAGAATCATATTGATCATATCAGGGCTTTTCAGATGAGCCAAACCCCTATAATGTATTTTTGTCTTGTTTGCTGGAACACACTTTTAAGTTTGAGAAGCAAAATCTTAAGTATTATTCCAAATGAAGTGAGTTTATGCTTAAAACATGAACAAATATGCCTATGAACTTCATTCAAAGTAAAGAATCCATTTAATTTAAAGTAAAAACGCATTTTTGATCCTTCCCAAGTAAATATTTAGTTATTTGCACTGCAAAACAAGACAAAAATACGAGTCAGGCATCATGTTTTTGCGGTGTAGACGTTGCGTGGCGTCCGAGGATCCTCTATTCCTCAGCAGCATTAGCTTGAATAATCCAATAAATAACATCATCATCAGTCAAACGCACGTGGCGTCGCTCACCTTGTGATTTACAGATTAAATGTTACGTTTGAGAGCGATGAAACACATTCACATGCCATATTTGTACAGTAGCGTGTCGGAGACAGCAGTTTGTCTGCTTTGGTAACACATAAACACATTCATGACAGCTGAGGCCTCGTCCACACTAATGCGTTTTATCTTGCGTTCACACTGAGACGCTGGTTTTATTAACCAAAACTACGATTTTTGAAAACGCTCTCCAAAGTGGATACATCTGAAAACGCTTGGCGTTGTAGTGTGGACTGTCAAAATTCTCAG